ATAATCAATTTATTTATAATTGACATCGTGTAGCCTGTAGTCCAATTATATTAAACTAAAAATAAGTTTCACGAGTAATAATAATTATAACTGCTGACAATAAAAACCGTTTTTATTGAGTTCTCATTATAAAATGTCAAAGGACAAAAAAAAACTACTATTTATGATAAATAATAATTTATCACAAAATTTCCAAGTATATTTGACTATAAAATCATCTCATATTTCATAACTTAATAATCAGCCAGCTGTTTTAAAAAAACGCTATTCAATCCTGTCCAGATCAATTATTTTCTTACTAAATATTATAAATTATATAACTTTTTTAGCTAAGAAGCTATTAATTTTTATCGATATTCAAACGTATTGTACCATATCAAAATATATATTAATTTTTCTGCTTCATGGAATGAAAATAGTATTTAATAAATTTACAAAACAATATCGACGTTTGTATATTGATATTAAATTACTTCATTCTACCGGATATACAAATGTTTGCATAAGCTTTAAGATTATTTAATCCTTATAGTAGTTATAATAAAAACTTTAATCCTATATTTTTCTATCTGTTTTTTAATTTGTGATTTGTGTAATTATGTGTCAATAATTACACTTTATTCAAATTTACAATATAAACAAAAAATGTATCAAATATCTTTTCTTTTTTTTTTCATCAAATGTAAATGTAATTATTTTTTTGTTTCTTGATTTTTCTCTTCAGAATAATACTTAAATAAAATAGAGTATTAAATAAACATTTTTTAAATAAATAATTCCATTAATATTGGTTTAATTAAAAATTAAATTATTTAAATATTAAAGATACATTAAAAAACAAAAAGAAAAAAAGTGTTGGGTTTTCACATGAAAAATTAAATTTTATAGCTAACTAATTTTTAAGTGATTTAATTCTCTAAAATGTTAAAAATGTACAAAAATAAAAATTCTGGAGTAAAATAACTTTTAACTTCCATAACTTCTATCTACAGATCATTAAGTAGCTAGTTCTTGACTACAAACACATTTTAAATATGCTTTCATTATGTTTTAATAAATGACTAGTAAAAACTTATGAAACAAAATCTTTTTTTGTCACTTTCATTCTTAAGAAAAACGTCCACTTGTTACTATTCTTACCAATGACTCCATTTTTTCTCATTCGATATAAGTTAAGTACTGAGATTTAATTTTAGACAGAAGATCAACTTGTGCTTCTCACCATAAGCGCAAACACAAGATACTTAATATCATTAAGATGTTAGACTACATTTATTAAGGCTACTCCTGCGCTCAAAAATTTCTACATTCAAAATAATACTTCATCCACTTTGATCTTACAGCCTTGTCACATGGAGCTCTGGCAAAAAATCTAACAAAAAATCAATTCAAGTATTTCAAAATATCTATCTACTAGAGTGATTTATCTGAAATACAATGGTTCAAAATAAGTTTAATAAACAATAATACTAAAGAATACTATAAA